TAATTTTTTTTTTTTTTTTTTTTTTTTTGGCATTATCCATGTGGGAAAAATGACGGAAAAGAAAATGACATTCTTGAAGGCATTTTTACAGTATTTTAGGATTCTACTTGTCTAGAACTAAAATTTACGTTAGAGACCAGTTTTGCCCAGAAAAATCATACGAAAATTAATGTGAATTTCTAAGAAATGCATACAGTACGTACAAACGTGTTTCAGTTCTAATTTTTAACCATGTCAGAAATACAAAAATGAACTTTAATCCGAGAAATGTGAACAGAAAATACACCAATAAAAAGAAAAATGAACCATCTCTTTGTGATCAAAATAATATTCATCAACATTGTTTATATGGACAATTAAACAATAGTTTTGACTTAAACGAAAAGGAAGTTGAAAGTTGAAAAAAAATACCTAAAAAATGGGATAAGCTAAATAAAAAAAAAAAAAAACCATTTACTATCGTGGATTTCTTGTGAAGACTTTACACGTAAAATTGTGTCAAAAACTAACAAAATTATAACCTTTCTGTTTAAAAGTTAAAGAGGCCAAGAACCCATGTTCTTCCTATTTTTCTGAGACTATCCCTTGTCGTTTGCGCTTTCTCCCGAGTGAAAAGCTTTAGCACCAAGCAAACTTTGTTCTCTCTTTCATCCTCTATATATATAATATCCATATATATATATATATATGTATTTTTAGAAACATACCCTTCATTTTTAGACATCTTATAATTTTAGGCCAACAGCTAATGAGCATTTTTTGTTTCTTACAAATGGACGAAAATGTCTCAAAATTATTTGTCTTGAGTAACAAGTTGGAACTTTTAATTTTTATCTTGAGTAAAAATTGAAAATGTCTCAATTGGATTACGTTAACAAAAATTATGAAATTTAGAGTTTCAAATACCAAAGTAAGGAATTTAAGATTTAAACTATAAATTATGAATGATAAAAAGTTTTGTGTAAATACTTATTGATGCATATGCATATGCGCGAGCTTACCCTTTTTAGCTATTTAGCTTCAAATCTTTCCTATATTATTCACAGAAATACATGAATACTAAATTAGCTCAATTGGGATCCCTAATTTTTCTAAGTTCTTGACAATACTATCCCCGATTTCTTATGTTATTGACCAATAAAATGCATAATGAACTTACCTCCACATAAAATGACATGTCCATTGCAACCTTTTCCTACACAGTACATATACAAGCCCCATTTGGTAAGCATAATAGGATAATATTCGATAGAATAGTTTTAGGATAATGGCTTGGAATGTATAGGAAAGGATATGATTAAATTTTAGTTTAATCCAATCTTATTTGGTGTTGTGTTATTAGGATAAGGGTGTTTTTGCAAAAAATAAAAATAAAAATAAAAATAAAATTTGGGTCAAATTGTAATTTTAAACTTAAGGAGCAAAAATATAAATTTTAAAAAAATATTTACTCAGAAAAATTGCATTTTTGATCCCTCAATTTTTATGAAAGTACAATTAACCCCTAAATCTTATAAAAATTTACAAATAAGTCCCTAATGGTTTTCACAATGTGCTCTAATTAAAAGTTATCAGTTATCTTATGCTTCCGCAGTGATAGCAACATCTCCTTCTAAGAGGATTTTAGCATGGGTTGGACAAAAATTTATCCAATCTAGTCCTTTAAAAATGTTCACCAACCGCAGAATTAAAATTTAATCCTATCTAATCTCCCTAAACCAGCATAGCAAACAGGCGCAGTACGTGCAAATTTGTGAACTTCAACAGAAAATAAGATGTCCATTGCAACCTTTTCCTACATATTAAGCACAAATTTGTGTTCTTAGCTTCCAGTATTTCCCATATTATTCATGAAAATGCACGTACAAAACCATTTTATTGAGGTAAAAGTTCCTCGCACTATCAATTCTTTACAAGTTCAAGAGTCGCAAAGTTAACCCCATCAAACGAGTATGTAACCATTATGATGCGTCAACTTGATTCAACACAATCATAGATTAACACAGTAACCATTGGCTTCATTAGAAACTAGATTAGTAATAGATGTCCATTTGGGAAAATGGAAATATGTATATATATTTTACAACCACCCTTTCCTATAACATCATGGATTTGTCGACCGAAACCCCACAAAAAGCCCAATCCCCAAAATAGAAAAGAAAAACAAAAAACAAAAGAGACAAAAATGAAGTTTCCTGGCTACAACTAGGATAAAGATATTCCTACATTAGTATGCTCTATACTTTGCCTACTTCATGTCCACTCTCCCCTCTCTTCTTTCTCCTCCTATTCCCTTACTTCCACATGTAGCAGTGTGACCATCATTGAAGTGGAATGAATATCGCAATCCCGATATTCCAACAAAATAAACAATTCCTCGTACAGGCCAGGGGAGAAAGCGACCTTGTAATCAGAGAGCGAAATAATAAAAACCAATGCAAAAATGAATTATAGTGCCCGTGAGACGGTTAGTCCTTGAGAAAATCCGTTCGATACTTTCTGCGATTTCTTCTTGAAATTACTGACGCTGCAGTGCGGACATATGTATTCGAGCCCGTCTGTTTTCGCATAATCCTGCATTCCAAGAACAAATATGATTATACAAACAATTAACAACGTGCAGTTCGCTCGAATCATTGACAAAGACTAAGCCAATACATACAGAGATAAAGACAACTAGTTTGGTGTTAAAAGGTGATTGTTATGGAGTGAGAAATGATACCTTAAAGGCACCAAGACCCTGCCTTCTGTCGCAACCAAAATGGGCCCACTCACCACATATGCCACAGTTTACCCAATCCCCTGCTGCACTACTGTAGAACACAAGGAAAATCCCATCGTAAGCAAACTTCAATTTTTTTTTTAAATTTATTTTATGTATGTATATATATATATAGATATATTGTTGTGCTTGCAATTGCAACTAAATCATAGTTGACTATGCCAAGAATTTAATCACAAAGAATAACATGGCATAAAATCCGAACCTGTGACATAATAAACAGCACTCTCCATCCACGTCATCATGAGCCAATTCATACTCTAGAAGGTAAGTTTCATAATGCCTTTTTAGCGTATTTCCGACACCCTGTAAAGACAAAATAATAGTTATGGAGATTTAAGTATTATATTTTGTTTTTTAAAGAAAATCTAATACAAAAGATTTGTGTCGTAAATGTACCACTTTCGAAGTAGACATAAAAATATTAATTTAATGCCCTACAAGAATCTTCTGCAAGTAATCGTGTTTGCATCATACTTTGTTCCCATTTCTGCACCAATATCTTATTTTTTTCATCCTTCATCCTACTTCCTACTTTGTAATTTTCATAACTTTTTTTTTCCAATTTTTTATTTCTAAAAAAAAGTTGGAACCGGAGCAAGAATATTGGACATACAGTCATTCTATTGGTCATTGTGTAATTGCGCATCTTAGAGAAGATTTGCCCCTTCCAATTGATGCCATTACCAACATGAAAACCACCTCTGGTAACCACCTGAAAACACCAGTGACAAAAACTTTTCAATCTGAGAATTCTTCCAGTAAAAAGCTCTAGAATTTAGAAGACAGGTTCAGGTCAAAGGGTCACCTCTTTATACAAATTGTAGAGATCAAGACGCTTTCCATTGAGTATGGCATCTGGAAACTCCGCAAGCCCACTTTGAGGAATAAGACGGGTATGTCCTCGAAGAATCAAAAACTGCATCACATCCTTCAAAAACTCCTCCTGCACATGAAATACGACTATTAGAGAAATTAGAGCAATACTTGGATGGTTCACAGAGGACCAAGTTTACTTTGAAATCATTTCAAAAGAACACAACTAACCTCTGAGCAAGTATGTATTGAGCTCCTACCACAACCATGTTTCTTCAAAGGCAACGGATTCAAGGAAATAATTTGCTTAGCCTGTGATGAGCTTGAAAATGATTTTCGTTGGGCAGAAGGAGTTAATCCTACAATACTGAGCTTTGTGGGTGGAGCAACTGGAACAATAGCCTTAACTTGGCCTCCATCATGTCCATCTGCCTCAGAAATTCCAGAAAACGGTGTCATCTTAGGGCGCCGAACATGAGGAATAGGCCTCATTGCAGCAACTTTCAATCTTTGCCTCGCTGGAAGTAAGGGCAAGCTGACTCCATTGCTCGGCCCCCTCTCCTTGTCCTCTTCCTCTGATTTAGAAACAACTTGGTTTGGAACCCGGTGACCATCATGAGAGCCCGGGCTTGTTTCTTGAGACCTCTTCCTACTAGGAGCAGGTGGTCTCAACCAAGGAGGAGGATTGCTGAAAACCAAGTCATTTGAGATCTCTTTCCCCTGACTTGAACAAAAGAAAAGCAGGCGTTCAGCATCTTCTTTCTCAAAAGAAGCAACTGGTATTCCCTGGATGCTGGCAATTCCAAGTGCCACTAAACTATGATAAGAAACATCTGGTGCTAGCTGCCTCAAAACCTGGAAATGTAGCCATAAACAAACACATTAATTACATTAGATATCAAAAGAAATAGAATGGCTTCCTTTTCCTTATCCAATAACACAAAGCTCCTAGAGAGAGAGAGCACATAGTTGAAAACCTGAGAAGCCCAGGCAGGAACCTTCATGCAAACTTCGAACACTGTTGCTCCACAAGCAATGGAAGCAGATTTCCGAGGCTCAGACAGAGGTAGTTTGTTACCCTCACTTGCCGTGGGAAGTGCACGAACTAGTTGGCTATTTTCAATTATTTCATTCTTTATATGATTCTCCAATAGCTGAAAATGAACAAAGAATACAAGGTAAAACACCAATCGCTTCAAAAGAGCAACATTTCCACATAAACTTCTTTAGCATTACCTGATCATCAAAGCAAGTTTGCGCACTACCCGACAATAAAATTGAAATGTGTGCACAACTACAAGTTGATAAATCACATCTCATGGTCACAACACCACGAGAAAATGTCCCTGCCTGAAGCGGTGGTGGAGGAGCACTGACAACATTATAGTGGTATTGTTAATGGAATAGAAAGATTTACCAAGAGCATAAGCAGGCAGACAACTCCACTTATCATTAAAAATAAATAAATAAATAAGAACTTCTCTTGATGGAAGAAAGTTACAGACACCCACAATGGATCCTTTGTAAATGGTTATGGACCAACCAACTGGTAATGATAAATACACGTAAATGTAGAAAATATTTCAAAGATGCAGCATACCTGAATTTGCCATGAAGCCTGCCCCCACGTATCTAAAAAAAAAAAAAAAACAGGAGAAATGAAAACCAGAATGTGAGAACTTCTTGCACCAATAAAAATCCTAGAGAGGCAAACGGAAAAAGACCAAGCAAATTACGATTCAATTTCCTAAGAAAACGACTCCTCCAAATAAGGACATTGCACTTGATGCGTGGAACAAATTTTTAAGGAAGAATTTTCACGAAGACAAATTTCTCCCATTATGAAGGAAAAATGAAAACATAAGCAAATCAAGGGACTCAATCCAGGCAACCAAAGTATCACTTACTTCAATGTTCAAGAGGGCATTCAGACCATCTTCCAAAGGTTCTAATACGCTTTCATCCTGAAATACGTGATGGTGAATACGAAAATAAGTAGAGTATCTCATGTATCGAAAAATGGATGGTATGTCCGTGACAGAATATGCTTGCATGAGTTAAAAAAACTACAAACCTAATTATTTGGAAATGGTTAAAGGAAAAGGTACGACTGAGCTTACCAACGTGGATGGCACTCCACAAACCAGAAACCTTAAGCTCAAGTCATCGTCATGTATCTTTATGGCCGGGAGTGTATCCAAAGAACCATCTTCATCGTCCTCTACATCAGCTGCAGGAGGATCAACATTGATTTTTAAACGGTCTCCAAGAAGACATGGCCCTTGCTCGTCACTGATTTCATGGCCCTTAGAAGGAAGGACATGGTTGTTTCGTACACAGTACAGCCTAAAGGAAGCATATGCAAGTTGGAAAGCATCCCAGGCATGGGTTGATGAACTGAAATTCACAAAACAAATTATTATAAACTGTAACCTCAAGCCGCTTCTGGGCTTATAAATAAAACGGTTGTATCAGATGCCTAGGATAACGCGTGTCATCAAGAATTAGAAGAATGACATCCAAATACCAGACTAATGATCTACAGGAGGAGAAATAAATTTTTTACTGTTTAGTTCTCATTGTTATACAGCACAGTGTACACTGTACACTGATATTTACATAGATAAAGTATTTGAAGAAGCAAATCTTGCAGATGATTTATAAATATAAGAAGATTCAAGGATTATATACCTCTTTACAACTGAAAGTAATGCGTTACGAAAGTGACAAGCAGCATGGCGAGAAAATCTGTCCTTCCAATATATCACATAAGGAACTCCCTACAGAGAAAAGCATCCGGAGTCAATAAACCAGACATCCTAACCATTTATCTTGCAGGCTTCTTTACTTGGCTCTTAAAATCACTATTGCAATAATCGTTAGCAATAAATTTCAAAATAACAAGTGCATGTAGAAGAAAAGACCTTCGAGTGAAGCTCTTCTGCCAACTCCTCACAATCTGGTATCTCCAAATAAACCTGCATCAAAATTTGAAATAGATGGGATCAAATGCACAAAGTAAAAGAAGCACATATTACAGAGAGAACATGGGAAATAAAAAGAATGCAAACTACATACAAAATACAATAGCCGTTCCTAAAATATCTTCATAGCTTACAAGTTTAACGACTAGTAACCCCTGAAATATGTATCTATTTCGTACTTGCAATGATAACTATACATTCTTAATTCTAGACACTGCTACTTTTTGCATTAATTCATGCTTTCTTTGTCCTTAGACTTTCTTTCCACAACCTTAACATTTGTCAACAACAACAATACAATAAGGGGAATTTAAAAGTTACATTTACAACTTCACGGGTTTATAAGAACTGTATGATTAACATACGCTCAAATTTAGCACTAAACGGACCAAATAGGCATTCCGATAATAAAGATAACAAAAATGCAGAGAATCATCATTTGCAAAAGAGAACAGGCCATGTATACAGCAATGCAAAATGAACTTTACAAGCACAAAAGAGATATTTACACACCGTGGTAGGCAATGTAGTGCCAAAGAGCTCCGACACTGATTCAGGGGTCGACAGGTCGACATCTCCCCAAACCAGAGGCCCAACCTCATCATTCGCAAGCTGTTCTCCTTGCAAGTATACAAGATTTGGCTTATATGATTCAAGGAGTTTAGAGAACTCCTCTTTGCTTGGGCTGGTCAGAGTTTGAACCTGCATTATAAGCAGCAACTAACTTAATGCAATATCCCAAACAAACTGATGTGAATGCAAGATTTTCATTAACCTTCTAATCTAAGAACAACTATATATATATATATATATATGTGTGTGTGTGTGTGTGTATTCAAATGCAATATAAAGAATCATAAGAAACTGAAATTTTCACCTCCAAACGGCCTGAAGAGATCAACTCCGGGAAGGGATACAGCGACCGATTCTCCGGCACATCCTTTTTGCGTTTGGATTCAGAGACGTTCCCACAAGTGACTGCAAGAAGACTACAAGTTTGTTTCGAAGAACCCTGAGAATGAAACATTTAATTTTTTTCTTTTTCCTTTTTCCCAATGCCCAGATAGCAAAAAACTTCCTTTAGTTGTGGGAAGCCCTCAACGTCCTCAGAGAAAAACTATAATTGGAAAAACCATGACACCCAACCAGATTACAGCATCAATTTCCCCAACAAAGAATACTTGCAAAATCACAAATTTTCACTGCCCAGAAGAAGAAATCAGATCAAAACAGTGCTTAAAACGACTTCACAAGACAAAACCCAGAAATCTTTCGCACAAATGCCCTCAAAATCAAGGTCAAATCTCATGACGAAGAACTCGGGGAAAAAAAAGAGCAAAAAATCAACCAATTTTGGCCGACTGATCGAAATCAAAGTGGTAAACCCTCAAAAACTGAAGGAAATCGACGAATCGAGCGAGAAAAGAGGGAAATTTTCATCAAGGGGAAATTGGAAAAAAAACCCACCGATCCAGATGAGAAAAAGAGGAACTTTCACGAACCCCAGATGAGGAAATCAAGAAAAATCAACGACCCACAACGCCCGAGTTCGCACCTCCTATAATAAAATCATAAACAAGCAAGAAAATAGAAGAGTAAAGTATAGGCAAAAAAAAGAAGAAAAAGAAGTAAACCCTAGGCCCTTAAAAATCAAATCAAAATCCCCAAAAGAAAAAAAAAATCCGTGTAAAAAGAATCTTACTTCTTTCTCAACAATAAGAATTAAGAATTATTATTATAAATTACAACTCCTCCTCTGTCCAAACACTTATCCGAAATAAACACGGACAATCAAATGCTCACAGCACTCAAAATTAAATAAATTTAATTAACATAAATGAGGTGTAGGTGTCAGGAAATTACTCAGGTCAAACATAACAAAAAGAATTGAAACAGAAACACCAATAATTATTAAAAGACCACTTTTTTATTTATTTTTTTGACGAACTGATAAAAAGGTAAACATTCCTGATTGGTGACAGAACAAACAAAACAAAAAAATGTTTGCTTTGCTTAGTAGTCTCTCTCTCTCTCTCTCTCTCTCTCTCGCATGTACATATACATTTAATAAAAACAAAAGTTAATTTCTTAGGAATTGAACAAAACCCAAATCATCAAAATAGTAGCACGTTCCAATAATCCCCATAAAGAAAAATTTTGCCTTTTTTCTGATAGCTCCCCACAAGATTCGGAAATAGCCAAGGTGGTAAAGTTACATAAACATTACATCATTTTGGTTCTCCTTTTCTTTTATATATGGCGTTTTGGTTTATTGATAATTCCCCATAGCTGAAAGCTCATTCATTTTTCTTTTTCTTTTCTTTTCTTTTTCCCAGTTTTCTCTTCATCACGATCTCCTTCCCACCTTACGCGCGTGGACACACACGCACGCAATCTTCTTGGCTCGTCAAATTAAGCAAAGAATTGTTGTAGCGGCTCTTGGTGATGAATGATGATTAATTCGCGTGGGATTTAAGTAATATGCAACTTTTATACGTCTTGAATCTGAGAGGTAATCTGTAACTGTACACACACACACACACATGTCCCATTAGAAAAAGACAAATCTATGTATGAGGCGATAAAAATTTTTCCTTTTCTGAATTAGAGTGCAAGTTCGATTGATATTTGATACACATTATATATTCATAGCACGTGTAAAGGTGTAATAAACTGTAAAAAGTGTGCATTTTCTTTTTCTTTTTCCTTCCTGGGTTTTGACGTTTTGTTGCGTTCTCATATTTGATCCAAAATTTACAACTTTTATGAGGTTCACATTACAGGAAAGTGATTGTAGACTTGGGGCACATTGTTTTGCTTTTTCTAGTCATTAACGATTTTAACTACTATTTTAAATGTCACACTCATGAATGAATCAGACAATTACAAGTATGAGTTCAATCATAAAATTTTTCTTAAAATAAAAATGAAAAAAAAAGTACAACCATGGGCCATGGCAATTTATTTACTTATTTTTAAGAACACCACAGGATTTTTAAAAAAAAAAAAAAAATTTAATGTTAGAACACCGGGGGAATTTGATTTTGGGACATATAGGAACTGACTTAAACGTATTAGAATTTAGCATCAAATTGTAAAGGGAAGGGATTTTCCAAAATAGTATCAGGCAAAAAATAGAAAATAAAAAAATATATGCTCATATGATTATTATGAAGCCTAGCTGCTATTTGCAAATTTGGTAGATGACAAATTTTAAAATTCTCACTTTACATTATCCCTGCTATTCAAGATCAAGATATACGTATGTGTATAATATATAAATACAACAAAATTTTTTGTGGTAACTAATAACTACTGTTCTTAGAATATATGTAGAATATATATTAAATTTTCTAAGAAAATACCGTTTTGATAAATAGAATTAAAATCACGTTTTCAAAGCCAGCAACTGTTCCACACCACAAACTTTCAACCACTGACTGACTTTCCTCCCTCCACGACCCATCCATCACCGTTAAGGCTTGACTTGAGCTGTTAGTGTTGCAACGAGTTATTTTAGAAGCTGCGCAATGTGTTGACTTGAGCTTTTACTGTGCAACAAGTTATCTGCGCAATGTGTTAAATGCTGTGTTTTTCTTGTCAGTTACACTCCTATAAAATTCCATAATGAGGTGAATATATATATATATATATATATATATTAAAAAAACAAAGATGTATATACTGTGAGTCCAAATCTACTGTATACATTTTCCTGTTCTACTTATTATCACTTCATTACTATTTATCATGTGATTTAAATTTAACAACTTTAAATAGAAATAAAATGTTAAAAATTAAGTAATTAAATAAGATATCAAAATTTTATTAGAGTGACAATAATTTAGGACCGGGATAAAATTGAGAACAGAGATAGAAATTAAAGATAAGAATAGAATTAAAAAGACAAATAGAAACAAGATAAAGAAGAATTACGAGGTGATAGAAATAGAGGGACAACAAAATTTAAGAGGAAGAAATAAAAAGCTCAATATTTATTGATCATCATCAAATTATCTGAATAAGAATTACAACCACTGTGTAATTATAGATATTTTAAAAATGATCTTAGCATAATTCAAAATACTCATAGATAAACATGATCCTAACTTAAATTAAAAATAAAATATAAAATATATCCTAATAAACAATTATAAAATTTAAATTAAAAATATAATCATGATATTAACAAGAGATTTGAACTCATATATGCTATTATAGAAAGAGAGAGTTGCGTTCAGGATTAATAATGGAAAGTAGTTGGTAGATATGAATTTATCAATCCACAGCTACATATGTTTAAATTCCTTCTCATCGGATCTATATGTGTGATCTTATACTGTTTGTAATTAGTTAGTTAATGGTGGGTCGACAACCATAATTAAGAAATAATTGCATATGTCGTTTATGTTTTTCATATACGTGTACGTAAAAGGAAGACGTTTGTTTTTAATGTCCTTCTAATTTATCAATCAAAGGGAACTGCAACATGATATATATATATATATATATATATATCACTTATAAACCTAAACGATATTGTATAGATAGACCCAAATACTTGACAGCTCGAAGTTTTATGGCCAACCGGTATTTGAAGCTCCAAATTAGAAACGAGAAGGATCAAAAAGGAAAAAAAAAAACAATTAGGCATGAAGAATCCATTTCAATCAGTACAAGAACATGGCTTGCCGGATATAACGGGCGCGTTTAGAACTCATTTTAAAATAATTTTATTTTTTGTATGAAAATAAAAATGAAAACGTTTTCAATTTAAGATAAAAATTATTTTTAAAAATGCGTTTAGTAGTTTTATCAAAAGATAAACAAATTCATTAATGTCTCTCTTTTTCTCTCTCTGCTCGAAAGAGGAGAAAATGAAAACAAAAAATGAAAAACAACTTAAAATTGTTTTTCATTTCTCTCTTATTTTACATTAAATTAAAAAATCATTTTCATTTCTGTTTTTTGTTTTTATTGCGTCAAATGCCGTTTTGAAAACGTTTTTATTTTTTTTATCTCGAAAAACGTAAAAAATAAAAACAGAATCAATTCTAAACACGATCAATATTTAGGCGGATAAAGAAATTAAAAAGTAATAAGTTCGTATTTTAATAAAATAACAGGATTACTTAATACTTACTCCTTCAAGATGTTCTCTTAATTAAACATAAATATGGGCGAACAATATCCAACAGTTTGGTGGAATTGCGCAATTGCCTAAACGACAAATAGATTAGGTAATAATAACCTTAATAATGAAAATAGAAAGCTTTCTCAACACATTCACTTTCTATGTAGTCATCATCAATGGTATTTTGTTTGCAGCTCCTTTTGGAGCGATGAATCTCATCATCACCGTTCAATAAAATCGCGATAAGTACTGGTACAACTTTTAAAGAGATAGAGGCTTAGTTTGGTATTGCTGCGGATTTTAAAAAAATTGTTTTTAGTTGTGCTGAAAGAAGAAGCAGCTGTTACAAGAAGCAGCGGAGTGTTTGGTAAATTGTAATTATAGTAGCTGTGCTGATTCTAAAATCAGTGTAATAGTGTTTGGTAAATTTTGATGTTAAATTGCTGTGGGTATGTAAAATGATTAAAATAGACTTGGTATGCAACTTAAATATATTAATTGTTTTTGAAATATATTAATTGTTTTTTATATTTAGAAATATTTATTTAACTTAAAAAAAATATAATGCTATAATTTTGAGTTTTTTAATAATAAATTTATGATAATTAATTCTTTTTTTTATTTCTTTATTCACAATATAATTACAACTAAAAGGAGCATTAGTAAGGAATCAATTTGTTGAACAAAAAAGTACATTTCATATTCAAAAAACTGACAGAGTCATTAAAAGAATTAAATCGTGTTCATTAAACTTGTCACAATTTGATCTCGTACTTCAACCATT